CGGTCAAGGCAAAGGGGGACAAGGTGTGGCAGGAGGGGGATGTGGCACCCTTGACATGGCCAAAAGGCCAGGGTTCTGGGGAGGAGGGACCATGGGAGGAATGGGGGCTAAGCTGGGCTGCAGGCAAGGCAGGGCAGGCTGGGAAGGCAAAGGAGGGCAAAGGAGGGTGCATGCCCCACCACCATGCTTGGAGTGGGGTCTGCCACCCCAGCACACCCAGGCAAGGTCTCCACCATCCAGCCCAGGGCACACAGCACCTCCCAGCCCCCGCCAGGAGCAGCTGTCACCATTCAGGTGGCCAGAAAGGAGAGGAGAGAGGATGCTCAGCGCTAGGGGATCCCTCACCAGCCAAGTTCCCTTCCCCAGGGCTGCCCCGTCTGCCAGCCCTGAGCCCCACCAGGACCCAGGGACCACAGTTTTTTAGCCAGCCCCTGCTGAGCTGTCTCCCCCAGTTCCTGCTCTGCCCTGATCACCAGCCCCATTCCCACCAGGCTGCCTCACTCTCCTCACTTGGTTTTCCGTCATTCCCAGGTTGGGGGAAAAGGAGCAGGGGACATCTGGCCCCACTTGCCCATTACCTATGGGGTCCCATAGAGGATGGTGCAGCCACCTAGAGCAAGAGTGGCTACCAGCCTGGAGGCATGGGGATCCCTGTTTCACCCCCCGCCCTGTTCCTGGGCTGCCACCTGGGCCAGCCTTGGCTTATGGGACACCCACTCCCCAAAGCCACCTATCGCTGCTGCAGCCCTGGCTCCTGCCTGAACATCCTCAGGAAACAGCAATGTCTCAATGAGGATGCTTCAGCCCATCCCTGAAGCAGCATCCAGGTGGCTGAGGGGCTTTTTGAACGAGAGCCAGGGCAGCTGGAGGGAGCAGGGAGAGGCTCTCAGCCGCAGTTGCCGCCGTGTTGGAAGAAGAGGGAGAGCGACGCTTTCAGAAAGTGCATAAAATACATTAAAAACTCCCACATGAGACAAAGCCAAGGCGAAGGATCACTTTTCAGACACAGGTCGCTTGAGAAGGCAGTGCTCCCCAGGGAGGAGGAGAATAGGAGCCTCAGGGGAGGGGGGAAAAGAGCAAAAAGCAAAGGGAGGCAAAGGAGAAAGAGAGAAAAGCAGGTGGGACCAGACCGAGCAGGTGCACGCAAAATACCTAGTGTCATTTCCAAACGAAATGCTATAAGTGGAAGGTGACCCAAGGACAAACACACACACATACACACACAGAAAAACAAAAGGTCAGAAAGCATCATCTGTATGGGGCTGGTGCGGGAGCAGGACCACAACGAGGGGGAGCCCCTCTCGAGGGGACTTGCCCCATAGCAGTTCTGCTGGCCAAAGGACCTCCTGCCCAGCTGGATGCTGAATCAGAGCCCAGAAGGAACTTGGCGAGGGCAGAGGTTTACCTGCATGGGTGAAAACACTCTGCCACCCACCTTCCTTGCAGTCTGGCAGCTGGGAACCAGCACATGTGCTCCCCGCCCCCTTAACCCTGCCCTCGCTGCCATCCCAGGGCAAGGAGCTGCTGCCCAGCACAGCCCCTCGGAAAGGTGCCCCTCATGGCACCCACACAGCAGGAGATTTCTTGGTCCATCCCTGGTCCACAGGGAGAGCATCACTGTGCCAGTAGCCCACAGGCAATCCCAGTGTGACCCCACATCTCCTGAAGTAGAGGGGCTGTATCCATGCTTGATCCGTTCTCCTGCACCCTGGGGTGACAATGGAGGGACAGATCTGCCCCCAGGCATCTCCAAGCAGGACCAGCTTCTAGCTGCTGAAGGAAGGACAGCTTCCCAGGCACAAAGTTATGGAGCCCACCAGGATTCAGGAGACCCCATCCCCTGTCTCCCAGATGCATCTTCATCCCTTCTTCCATTATAGGATCCCCTCCTCTGTGGCCTTGGTGATGCTCCCATCCAGAGGCTAGCAGCAGCATCTGAGTCTGTTGGCTCTTGCCCATACACCACACACCAGGCTCACACCACGGTCCCAGCTGAAGCCCCCCCATCCCCAGAAGCCAATCCCCACCATTACACAGGGGTACAACAGTTGAGGGGTGTGTGCACCCACCACTGCACCTATGTACAGACACAACACCACCCATATGCCGCATCTACGCCCACGGGACTACTGTGCACCCAGCCATCACCACCACGTGCCCAGGCAAGGGCTGGAGGTGGCCTGAAGCTCCCACCATGGTCTACACCAGCCCTGCAGCTACTCTGGGTGGTACTGAGGGCTGAGCCAGGTCGGGAGGCAACGGGGGAGTGGCACACTTAGCACCCGATGCCAAAGAGATGAGAGAGCAGTGAAGTCAAAAAGCAAGAAATAAACCAAAACCCAAATCAGGCGATGGGGATGCAGGCGTGCGAGGGGAGCAGCAGCCAGCGAGAGCGCGGCCCAAACAAACAGCAAAAGGGGCTAGTGAGCAAGAGGTGCCAGGATGGGAGGGAGGAGGGATGGGGCGTGTGGAGGGATGAGGGGCTGGATGTCCAAGTGCTGCCTCCGGCCGGAGTGAGTGCACCGAGGCAAGGGGAGAGAAAGAAAGAAGGGGGGGTGGAAAAAAAATCAATGGAAACAAATAATACCTAGGCATATCCGAATCAAGAAACTGCCTGTGAAAACACAAAACAATCACATGGTTAGTGTGGGCTCTGATGGGCAGCAGCAGCAGAGAGAAGCGAAGGGGAACCCTGGGGGCTGCCCCCCACAACTCCTCCCTGGGCGCTCGATGCAGGGATGGATGGGTGCTGGGGAGGGAGCTGTTCTGCTCCCTGGTCTCCTTCTGAGCAGCTCCAGGGAACTGGGAAGGCTGGGATGGGGAGGGGAGCCAGGGCTGCTCTGGGCAATGGAGGCTGCATGGCATAAGGCAGCGAAGCAGGGAGCGCAAGCAGCCAGGAAGGAGGGTGAAGCGGGCCCTGGCTCTGCCCGCTGTCCTCCCTCTGCCTGTCCTAGCAGGCTGGTGGGACTGAAGCATGCACACCTGCATGCAGGATAGAAGCGGGAAGGGCCCCTCAGCATCCCGCAGGAAGCTGGCTGCCCCCTCCTCCCCCTGCCTGGCCCTAAGCAGGCTCACAGGATGTAAAACCCATGGCATGCATGCTGGCCTGCAGCAGAACTGGGGCTGGCCCTGAGGTACAGATCCTCTGACAGCACAATCCTGGGACCAACCGGCCAGGTCAGGAGCTGACACAAAACAGGGCAGCTCCAGGAGCCCCAGCTCCCAGCAGCCCAGCAAAAACCACTGCATCTTTGCCTGGCCAGGCCCTCCTTGCCCAACCATCCCCACCTGTCCTTGCTGTTGTCCCCAGGGCTGTGCCAAAGTCTCTTGGTCCGACACTCGCACGCATACCTGACCCCATGGTTTGGCTCTGCTGCCTGAGGTACAGATCCTCTGACAGCACAATCCTGGGACCAACCGGCCAGGTCAGGAGCTGACACAAAACAGGGCAGCTCCAGGAGCCCGCAGGTGCCACAGCCACCCAGCTCCCAGCAGCCCAGCAAAAACCACTGCATCTTTGCCTGGCCAGGCCCTCCTTGCCCAACCATCCCCACCTGTCCTTGCTGTTGTCCCCAGGGCTGTGCCAAAGTCTCTTGGTCCGACACTCGCACGCATACCTGACCCCATGGTTTGGCTCTGCTGCCCAAGCACTGCATACCTGTGACCCACCGTGGCCAGGCGCCGCCAGGCACCTCCCACCCAGACCCCTGTCATCCCAGCCCAAAAACACCCTGCCTTGGGACAGGCCACTTTGGTGCAGCAGTGACCCCAAAGCAAACAAGGGGAAAAACGGTTCCTGCTCTCCACCAGGATGCTCCTACACTGGAAACAGCCATGTGCACATCCCAGGACTGGTCCCTGCTGCTCCCAGTGATGCCAATGACCATCCTTGTCACAGCTACCTGTACACACGCATTCTGGCCAGGGACCCCTGCCAGCCCCCTGAGTTTTGCCAGCAGCCCTGGTGCAGAGGAGAGATCTGTCCTCTGCACCCACCAGTCCCCCATACCACCACAGGACCCAGCCAGGGAGATCTTGGAGATAAACCCCTCTGGCCCTGCTGCTCACACACCCCTGCCAAACCCACAGTGGGAATACAGTCCCCCAGGACAGGCATCACCAAAGTCACCCAGCCATCCCCCAGTGCGCATGAGGGATGGCTTTCCTGAATCACACCCACACAGACAGGGACCTGCCATGGGCACCAAGTGGCCTTTCCTGTAAGTTTGCTGGGACACAGGACAAATAACCTTTCATGGCAGGGCTTCTCCAGCCACAGAGCTGGGACACCCTCATGGCAGAGGTTCCAACCAGTTCTCTGTGCCAGGCAGTCACAGCCACCAACACAGAGCAGGATCACCACCTAAATTCCCTTTAGTGCCAAAGCAGAGAGCAGAGAGGCCTCGGGGAGAAGGAGGGAGGGGTCTGGCATCCCTGAACCCCAAAATCCTCTGCAGCTCCAGAAAAGTCCCCCCAAGGCAGCAATGGGTCAGCAGGACCCTGCAGAGGGGCTGAGAGGCCCCTCAAGGAAGAGAAGGGCTCCCCATGTCCCCCCTCCACCCCTCGCCACAGTGGAGGAAGAACAAGAGAAGCAGCAGCACGCACCGGTCATCCTGGGAGGGGTGGATGTACCCAGAGGAGAGGATGTTCAGGGACAGGATGTTGGGGTCGATGAGAGACTCGTCTGCTTCTGGGGTGTTCCGGATCCGACCTGCAAGTGCAGCACAGGGATGCCTCTCAGGCGACAGGCAGTGGCCCTGTGAGGTTCCCCAGGAGGGGCATGGGCAGCCCACCTGCCTGCATTGCCCCACTAACACGCCCATCACAGACAGCAGCCACCCGGTTTTTGGCCACCCGGTTTTTGGCCACTCAGTGCTGGAGGTGCTGATCCAGCTCCTGGATGTGACACCCAGGACCAAGGCACCCTGGCCACACTATGTCCCGCTGCCAACTGCTGGTAGCTTTGCTACTGCAGGGCAGGAGGAGAGACAAGGCCGGTGTAAAGCTCTGCATGGGAACACAGATAAGAAACAGACCAAGAGGATACCTGGGAGCTCAGCAGGCTGGAGGATTGCTCACAGCCCATTCAACCTAGCTTGACTTACCTACAACCAGCTCCCGCACTTCCTTCCAGCGGATGAGGCTGCCTGTTTCATGCACCAAGGTGACAGTGATCCTCCTCTGGATGCCCTGAGACCCGCAAGGCCAGAGAGAAGGGACAATGGTTAACAAAGCTCACGGCAGGAGTTAGAGCCAGAATGGTATTTTAGGGAGGGAAGTACCTGGTGGAGGAGGAAGGTCCCATGGCATGGCATGCCTCCACGGTGGTCCACAACGGCAGGGATGTAGCTGGAAGAGAGGATCATGGCATGACACAGAACCCTGTCAGCCTGCATGAAGGTGCCAAACACTGGCCAAATCACTGTGCCACCTCGCTCTCCTTCCCACTCCCCTTTCCAGCAGGACTTACTCGCCATTGGCTTCCAGCTCACAGATCTCAAAGAAGACCATCAGGTCATACTTGCACTGGCATGGGCCGGCACTGGGCCGAGTCATGGTGCTCAGCTTCGTCGCAGGCACTATGGCAAGTTGGAAAGACAGCTTAAAGGGTGAGCTTGCTGCTGGCATATGGAGTGTCTGATGGCAGGCAGGATACAGGCAGAGCAGGCAGGGACCACAGGAAGACATATGGAAGTGGCAGCGATGCAGAAGGGAGTGCATAGAGGGGGACAGACCCATCCCAGCGACCTTTCTGACCCCTTGCTGAGCCATCCAGGGTGGGTAGCCTCCTCCCTGCCACTCCACAAGAGATATGATCTGGGTGCTGCGGGAATAGGTATCAGGGCCTTATGGTGCCCCTGGTGGTAATACATTTTGGTCCACAGTACATATTGGGGCGCCCAGTGGTCCTAACTGGTTCCCCTGGGGAAGGGGACTCTGTACCCAGCACAGGGACTATGGGTGGGCAGAGGAGCAGGAGCCCAAATCCCTACCTGGTTTGGAGAGTGGCATCACACGGGGCAAGTGGCGCCGGGATGGCCTCAGCGGGCTGCAGAGAGAACCAGCTCGGTTAAAGCATACACAAAAAGCCCTGAAACAGCCAACTCCACCTACACCCCAGGGCCACCTCTTCCTGCCACCTAAACCTCTTCTCCAGGTCCCAAGAAGCTAGCTGCACTGGGTGCCCCAGTGGCATCCAGGGGCTGGAGCAGCCCAGGGTGCACCCACCTCAGGACGTCCTTGCAGAGGGGTGGAAAAGGATGCTGTTGGTAGTGCCCAAAGACTTCAAATACAATAGGCTGGCTCTTGATGTATTCAATGAAGGATTTGGTCACCTCCACAGCAATCTAGAAGAGAAAGACCCACCAAAACAGCAGCTTAGCTGTGAAAGAGATGCAGCCAGCAACATCACTGGGGAGGTGGGAGGGTGCAAACCTGTCCAATCCCCTGCAACACATCCCCTTCCCTGTGGCCCAGGGATGCTCTCCCCACTAAGACCACTGCCATGACATCCCAGTGGTTTTGGGTGGCAGGTTTTTGCTCTTTGGCCCACACATCCACCTTGTCTAAGGCTGGTCTATCTAGGCAGCTCTATCTTCTCTGGGAAGACACAGCCAATGAGCCTGCAGAGACCACAGCAACTGTGGGGGTGAGGGGATGGGGGCGGGCCAGGGGTACTCACATTTTGGACATGATAGAAGCCTAGTGGTGGCCCCCGTCCTGTGTTCTTCAAGGGCTCTGTTGAAAAGGCCTCGTCATGGCGATGGATGAAGCTGTAGAGGGAAGGAAAGTGACTCAGGAGCTGTGCGATGGGCATGTGCTGGAGCAGGGAGGAGAGAGAAGGCAGAGAATAGGACAAGAGCTCCTCCCAGTACCCTGGGCTAGCACAGAATCCCCCTGAGCCTGTTGGGAGCCTCTCCCTGCCTTTCTCCAGTAACCTCAGAAGGTACCAGACAAGCGCATGGGCTCATCCTGCAGCCCTTGGGTTTGCCTCCCATCCCTGAAGGGCTCAAAGGTGGGGGTTCTGGGGCTTCCCCACATTCATCACCAGCCCAAGGCAATGGCCAGAGCATGATGGGAGATGCAGGGCTGAGGGAGCACAGGGGGCTCACTTGAACTGGCAGAAGATGTCTGCATATTCTGCAGAGATGCTGGAGGCTTGCAGGACCGTCACACGGAAAGTGAACATGCTGCCCAGCTTCAAGTGGTCCAGAGCTGTCTCCAGTGGCCCTTCTGACACAGGCTTCTCTGGGCTGTCCAGAAGGTCCTCTGGTGTCACTGCAGGGAGAAAAGAGTCCTCAGCGAGGTGAGGCATTGCCCCCCTCACCGTCTGCCTGCAGCCCTGCACTAGGGCAGTGGGCTTTTGATGCTCGGGTGGGCGCAGGAGGCTGGGTGACAGGGGTGGGGGCTGCTCCCCAACCACTTGTCAGCACCCCCTCACCTGCGCAGGTATTGTTGTTGACCTCATCAGCAGAGGGACCCACGTCGCTGAACCTTCGACGATGCGCAGCTCCTCCTGGGAGGTCCCGGAGCGAGACATCCCCACGGCTGGGCATGACTCCGACTGGAACTGCACCAGGAATCACAGAATGGTTTGGTTTGGAAGGGACCTTAAAGATCATCCACTTCCAACCCCTTGCCACAGTCAAGGACACCTTCCACTATAGGGTTCAGGGTGGTCCCTAAGGTAGTTCCGCTTGCACTGTCATCACTGTCCCAAGCACTAGGGCACCTCCAGCTCTCTCCTCCCACCCCACAGCAGCTCTCCCTGGGACACAAGCAAGAGTGGGCTGATGCCTGCACCTCTAAGAGCCAGGTGGTCCCCACGGGAGAGTATCTCCATGGCAGGCAGGGCCCCCCGCAAAGAGCCAGCTGCCACCATACCTTCTCAAAGTGCTGGTCATCGAAGGATATCTTGGCTGTCCCCGACTGCCGCACGCCAGAGCCATAGTCAGGTGCTTCCTCATCCGCTGGAGGAGGGATGAGGGTGAGCCAGCATGGGGGATGTGGGGGATGTGAGGGACACATTTTGGGGGGGGGCCCCCTCCTACCTGAGATGG